TTTAAAAAAAAACCAAAACAAAAAAAACAACCTGAAATTGCAGGAACAGTACCACCGAGTTAAAACTGGGCATCCACAATTATAAATAGTTGTGCAAATACCAAGCAAACAGCATACGTGCAAAGCCATGCGACCGTTACTCCCAGAGATCACAAAGAGTATTGGCACTAGTAATGGGTAAATCACATCTTCATTTCATTATTAAAAAACAAAAACCAAAAAACCAAAAACAACAGCAACAACAACAAAAAAGATGTCTTCTGAAATGAATGTGTACATTTTTTTCAATTTGGGGAAAGAAGGACGGTTTTGTTAACAGCTATGGTTGAACAGATTTGAAGCTCTGCAACATCTGGCCAGGCAAAACTCAGCAATACTAACATTGAATAAAAGGAGAATAAATGTTCTTCTATTGTTTCTTCTGAATTGATTTTTAGAGTGTTTAAAGTGCTTTGCATTCATGCACTTTTCAAATAGCCATAGAAATGGAAACAGCATGGCCCAAAAAGCAGCTCACAGCATTGTGCATTTGCCTCCCATTTTCCAATATGATTTTGGAATGCAAAGAATTTGAGCAAAGAGAGAAGACAATGCGTTCATGAGAGACCTGATTTGGTTTTTAATTGTGTTTATTTATTAACTTCTCTGTTGTTCCCCATGTCTCAGAAGCAGAACACCACACATGCTTTAATGGATGTGTCCCTGTGTCCCAGGAGATAGCAGAGTAGTACTGACCCCGTTTCAAATAAAGGCTCAGTGAGGCAGCTTGCCTTGGGGCCACTGCCCTGGGAGTTTGCAAGGGTTCCCTCAAGTTCCATTACAAAACCTACACAGGCATGGAAGTTACAGCTCTGGCACTCACCGTGGTATTCATGGCACCTTGTGTGCTCTTGCAAAGGGTATGCAGACATAGAAGGACCCATTCTGAGTCCACTGAAAAAGAGCACAGCAGTCTGCTGCTATGGACTTCGGCTCAGGCAGGAAGCAGTCCTGGTAGAGCAACCTGAAAAATCTGTAGGAATACTACTAGGTCCAGGTATGAGCACCCAAACTGCCATCTGTTGCAGTGATGGAAATGACCTTTCCTGCATCCCTTAGATAAACTCTGGCTCATGGTTGCAAATAACTGCATACTCCAGGACTTGCTTGGTCTCACTTAAGGATAACAAAGGAAATATAAACACTGCTGGCTCACACACATCTGCAATTTGGGAAAGTGTTAAAAGCATCAGGAGAGACTCCCAGACTCTCACTTCAGTACCTCTCTTGTACATCACATGTGTTTCTTTATGTTCATTTGGTAGCATCCCAGCTGCAGGATGGTCATGTTCCCTCCACAGTTTCAAAAAGAGGATCTTTAATACCTTCTCTGGAAACAAAGTGATCACTCATCAAACTCCTGTTTCTTTTTTTACTGTGTAACCTAGACTCCAGGCACCAGCATTTTTTCTTTTCTCTTATGATTCTCAAAAGAACTAAATTTTATGTGTAACCAGCAACCCTTCTCCACTGCCCTGAAGAAAATTTCTCATCTCCTCTTTTAGCTATAAACCAGAAAGGATCTCAAATTGCATTCATCCCAGAAAAAATTCCTAGAAAGAGCTATGGCAGTGCCCATGCAATGCCATTCCACACAAGGCATCTTCCCCCACCTGGGCAGCTGGTGAAACCAGGGACAGGTTGCATGGTAGGCTGGACATGTTTGTTAGGCTGGAGCTTTAACTTACACCTATATTCCTTAAACTAAGCTTGACACTTTGAATCTTTTCCCATTTTCCTCATTCATCATTTTGTTATACGTTGTGATGTAGGCTCCTCCATGCTATACATTCTTGAATCTTTTAGTGTATAATGGACTTGTAACTGAGACAGGATACAACTTATGACACAGCATACACTGTATTAAGATTTTTTTTCTTTCCTTCCAACTTTTCTCTGATTTGGCCCAACAGTATTCTTTCTTGCTGTGCCTGGTTTAGGAAAAACTTGCAGCTACTCCTTTCCTGAAGTGCTGCTGGCATTTGTTTCCACTTGCCTCCTCCAGTTTGGCAGGAGATACGCATATGCACAGGACTCCATATGTTTCCAGAGATAATCTGCCTTTTACTACCAGTAAGAATAACCTTGAGTACATATTGCACTGTCACAACATATTTTCTATATGAATCAGAAAGTAAAACCAGTGCATTGGAAAAGCAGACCATACTTTTAACAGGCAAATTCATAAGCCAGGCTTTTATGAATAGAGCAAACTGAGTGGTGGGGGCAGGGGAAATCACAGGGAAACAGATGTGTGCTTATGAACCAAGCTCCCTGTCCTACTGACATCAAGTTACATTGGGGTTGATCCACAGAGAAGTATCCCTGTAAATGGAGGCTAGGTGCTGAACTGTTCATACCATTTCAGTGAAATCAGTGTGAGCACACCGAGTGGAAATCAGCACAGAACAAGGTTGAGGGAGCAAAATGGCTGTTCCCTTCCACTCCAATCGAGAAAACTATCAGCTATACAGGTTAAAAAAAAAAAAAAAACAAACAAAAAAAAACAACCAAAAACAACCCCCCCCAAAAAACCAAGACAGGAAAAAGCTCCAACAAAATCCAAACCACAAATCCTAGAATCAGTTGTGAATAAGAGAGGGAAAAGAATGTTTCTCTTAAGGACACTTTCTGCTCTATTTATAGCTATAGTTTGTATGGCGTTTAACTCCTGACCCATAGGGTTCTTAGGCAAGTAAGAAATGTACAGATGTGTATTCTAAGAGCTGTATTTCATCCATATGTGCAAAACAGCCACAGGAGAGCTGCAGAAAACTACACACTAGGGGTAGCAACCTTCCCAGTCCAGGAGCAACCTTTGAATCACACTAAGCCTATCCTCTGGCAAATACAGAGCTTCAAAGACAATTCTGCTTGAGTAAAAACTCAGAGCAAAATCCTGAGGCATTCAGTCTTCATGGAAGTTTTGTCACTTTCTTCATAGGATCTGAGAGTTTAACATGAGTAAGCCTTGCTTTTAATTGCTTTAATTGCATAATGCTTATAATACTATAGTGGAAAAAAAGATGAAATCTCTCTGAGAGGATGTACATATAGCTTCCCAGTCACATCACTGTGAAAAGGGTGAAAGGAAAACTTGATCCATTTCAGATTTCCAGTATCCTGGAAGAGTTCCCTTATTTTTAAGTTCTTGAGGTAAAAGAAAGCACAATTTTCTAACTTTCTGCCTAATATAGCTTCCTTTTTTTAACTTCTTTTTTCAATTTTTTTTTTTTTTTTTTTTTTTAAGAAGGAAGGCATCTTGATTGTGTGGGTAAATTAGGCTCACTAAAACAAGTTTCGACCTGCTCAGTCTTATCATAACAGTATATGGTGCTTTTTGTGTTGATACAGCATCCTCTCTATACAGAGCTGGCAGAGTACTGACAGCCATTTCAGATGTATAATTTGTTTAAGAAAAAATGCCAAAATTGGACTGTATTATCCATTGCCAGTTTCTCAATTCCACCTACAAACAGCTTGAATTACAAAATAACTTTTATAGTTTACTGCTTTTCTTCACAGGGAAGAACATCTTAGGGGGAATGGTTAGGTTAGGGGACACTCAGGGATGTTGGCATACAGAATACCTACAGTCATTGCGCAGATGCAAGTGCTCTCTAAGGACCTACTGAAGCCTCCTCTACCAACAGAGCTAACTCTGCTTTTGATTTGTCAAGATGTATCCTAGTGTTGAATTGTATATAGGCAGCAATACTATTGCATCTGTATAGCCTAAGAACATAAGTAGCATCAGGTTTATATGATTTATATGTAACTTCTATTTAGAACAACATAAGCAAGTCCAATATTTTAGGAGTTTCTGATCAAATCAAATGTATTACCCTTCTATTACTTTTATTTATGCATTAAGCCATGAGTAAAAAGACATTTAATTTTACCAGTGAAGGGATCATGAAGACCCTTTTCTATCTAAAAATGCCTTCACATTCTCTATTGTTTTTCACTCCCTAAAGACATGTTTCACCACTGAGATCATGACTTTACATACAATGAAAAGCTGAAGAACCTCTCTGCCCCAGGTCATTCCCTCTAATCAAACCCAGGTCCATAACAGGGCTGAAAGTTGTTATCATGTGCCTGCTCTTTACAGGCCTGAGTAAAGGACGAGGTTGGACAAACTATAGCAGGTAGACAGGCTGTAACAGAATGAGAAAAATACCAAGGAAGCAAAAGAGGGCTAAACATGAAGGATTAATTATATCTTGTACCCTTCCAAGTGGTCCTGCCTTACTGAGACTAAGGTACTTGAGAGATGATGGTATGGAAGCTTGTACTTTGAGCATGTAAAAACTAGTCTAGAAGAAGAGTTATGTATTTTCAAAGTCATTTCAATAAGGCAAAACTCCAGTCCCGATTCCTTGGACCCACCAGTTAAACTGCAGTCAAAATTGTTGCTCATTTGCCCCACAGAGGACATATGTAGTTCCCCAAATGCATAAAGTCTACACAAAACTGCCACATAACAAGAAGCCAGCCAAGAAACCCAGACAGTTTGGTTAATCAGACAAAGAGCATCTTCATGTTCATTCCGTCTTAAATGAAGATCTGAGGAATGGTTATGGACTGGGGAGGGAAAGAGAGAGTACAAGAAGTACAGCAAGCCCAAAGAGAAGGGACATGCAGACAGTCAATTAGGTAATGCACCCAAGCCTGATCTGAAGACCCATTGCAAACAGAGCAGCCATTCATGCACTGTGACATGCAGGTCAATAGAAGCAATCATATGCTTGCCTGGTACTTATGGCTATGTTTGTGAAACATCACGTGGCAACATATGATGAAACTCAACCCCTGATCAAAAACTACAGCAAATTAAAAATGCTTTGATTTTTTTCCCATAAAAAAAAAAGAAAAAAAATCATTTTTTAAATACAAAATACATCTTTTTTCCCCACTGAATTCCCATCATTCATTGAAGTGAATTTTATGGAACTCACCAGATCTCATGCTCCATTTCTGAGTTATTTCTCTTTCTGATTATCTGAAGAGTATTATTATTATTTATCTTCCAGGAAAATAAATCAAGCTCCTCTGCAAAAACCACAGAAGACACTATCCTTAAACACAAGAAAATTGCATTGTTTGTTTCAAGGCACACATTGATCAAAACAAATGTCAGAAAATAATTTTCCTTCCTATTGGGTGCTACTTCCTGCTTGGCCAGATGCAGTATGTTGTTTGCCTTTTCTGTTTCTGAAGCATCTGCTAGCAGTTACTGCCAGAAATGTGATAATGACCATGGTCGACCAGTAGCTTGAACTGGTGGATCCTGTATTCTGAGCCTCAGACTACGCAAATTGCAGATACTGCTTTTACTAACTCAAGCCACACATTGCATCAAACACAGTGGAAGAGTTTGGCCTCTGTTTTCCACAAGGACAGGACCAAGCCCATCTACAGCATATCGGAAAGCCACAAAATGGAAGCAATCCAGGCTAAAGGTTTTCCAGTAAATAATCACGCAATGAGCTCCTAGGAGGGCTTGTATCTTTTTGAGAGCTGAGTTAAGCTGTTTAGCTCACTAGCAAGTTTGGGCAAAAAGATGGCTCACAGGCCAAGCCCTAAGAGCTTACAAACAATTCTGCAACCATGAGCTTGTCTGGAAAGCTGCATTAAAAAAAAAAAAAAGAAAAGAAAAAAAAAAGATAAGTTAGCAAGCGCTCTCCTGGCAAGGTTTCGGGTTTCGGAAGTATTTGTAATGTTGGCAGAGCAAGAAGTTATTGAGTTGTACTGTTCTCTTCATGAGGTGAGTCTAATGTACAGACCTTCCATGTAGAATGGGATTTCTTCCCTTTCTTTTGTCCTCTCCCTTCCTTCTGGTGTGTGGTATGTGTTTGACATCAAGAAACAAAGCTAAGAAAATGAGGAGAAAGAGCAACATGAAGCATCAGTTTTAAGAAGCTTTTCTCTTATGTTTTTCCTAGTGATGCCTTGGAGGAAAAGCAGTTAAAACTCCAATGGACCCCAAGAACCATATTTTCTGCCAATAGATTATGAAGGCAAGAAGAATAAACATTCTTGAACACAATGAGCATAAATGTGCTGGTTGCAAAAATGTTGTCACAGAGCAGTGTGTTAATAGACAGGGGAAAAAGAGGGAAAGGATACAGTGCACCTAATTTGTTAAATCTGCGAAAACTTCACATTGAAAACAATTCCATTATATTTGCCTGGTAATCTCTGAAGAATAAAAGGGCTAACACAGTAAATTTTAGGATTGCTCATATAAAAAGTCTGATTTATAGAATATGATCAACTGTGCCTTTCATCTGGTCTGAAGGAGCCCTCAAAAGCTGTAAAAGAATTTGTGTGAGGCTCTTATCATCCTGAAATACATGTGACTAGAAATCTGCTAGAATTAAGCTGCCAGAGGCAGCAGTCCTGTTACATACTGTTGGCCTGTATGTCTGATACGTGACATTTTTTTAAATCCTGTCAGGGATAATCTATCACATAACCATCTTTTGGATTATACTTTGAGACTGTGGTCTTTTAGCACAAATGAAAGTATGCTTCAAATTGTGATTCTTTCTGTTAGAAAGATGATCACTGTGTTTGTACAAAGGAAAATCTTACCAGATAACCAAATACATAGTAAAGACCAGTGCAAAGTATCAGGAGTAAACAGAAGCACAAACCATCCCTAAGACTAAGGCAAAGTAGTGACTATTATCTATGAAAAATTTGTCTTCTCTGCTAGTGCTCAAGAAATGCAGGTTTGCATTTCAACCTATTCTGAAATCTGTAGATCTGATGGAAGGGCAGTTACCCTCGACTGTATATGCCGCAAACTGATCTCCAGGAAATAGCAAGATGACATTTTTTTCTTCTGGATTCATAGAATACTCTAGAATGCTGTTCTTTCCTCTTATATCAAATGGGAAGGCCTTTCAATGAGTTCCTTTTCAACACCTCCATCACTTTCTGCCCCAAATCAACTAACCTTCTTTGAATTTTGCATAGTGTCACATATAGGTGGGATTTGTCTTGCTTCAAGCCTGAAGTCCAAAGTCTTCTGGTTGTGAATTTTTCTGCAAGAAAAAAAAATCGCAAGCAATGAACATATGGTAGGTGGACCTCTGGCCCTGGCGTGTAAGAAACAGTTCACTAGGAAAGTTGCCTCATTAATGGATTAGGAAAATATAGTGAATACTGTACCATTCAATCTCTCTTGGAATCGAAGAGAGTTCTTCTGGAAGAACCAGATGAATAGTTATCATTAAACCTACTACAAGGAAAGCTGTCAGCACTAGCAAAAAGATGGGGACTGTGGAAAGGGATGAGCTTAGACACAACACAGGATGAATAAATAATTAACAAGGGTTTAAAGGCTAGCAACTTTCAGATTAGACCATTATGACAATGATGAGCAATTCACATATTCTATGGTGAATTAATAATATCCATAGCAAAATCAGTGGTTTTCAGTAGTATGAACGCGTTATGTGGGACAAGCAGGAGTGGAAGACATGAGGATTCCACTGAACTTATTCTGGAACATCTGTTGCTCAACCTAGTCATGAATGATTTGGAGGACAGGGTCAACAATGAGGTGACTAAGTTTGGTGTTGATACAACATGATCTGTGGTTATCAAACTGACTGTGAACAGCTGCAGAAGCATATCATGGTATTGAGTAACTAGGGAAAAATATGTCAGATGGAATACCTTGGTGATAAGGCCAAAATAATGCATATGGGAAAAACATATGTCAATATATAACTGTGCCATGTCCAATACCTCATTTGCTTCTGGATACCTGACATCTCAGAAGGGATGTAGAAAAGTTGGAATGGTAGCAAGCACAGCAGTGGAGGTGATCAGAAGTATGAAATTGCTTCCATATGTGGAAGGACTAAATAATCTGGGACACTTTCCCTGTGAAAGAATCAACTAAAATGCTAGAATGTGGTTGAAGTTCATAAAATCATGAAGGTCATGAAGAAAAATAATATGGATTATTTCCCTTTTATGTTAAGTTATAGGTATATCATGTGTGTGCGTGTGATTTTCCATGATCCAAAAGTAGGGACCAAAACTGAAAGCAACAGGAAACAGGTTTAGATCAAATGAAAGAAAGTGCTTATTCTCAAGAGACATGGTTTATCAATAGGATGTCAAAAGTATAAATGAGTTCAAAACATCCTTTGACATACTCGTGAAAGAAAGATCCATTGGGACATCTTGAACACAATGACAGAAATAAAACACACAGCTCAAGCAGGGCAGATTTTCAGGCCTGGAAGGCTACACCAGAAGCTTTGTGCTCATTACGTTGTCACCCTCACTCCACAGGCTCCTCTTACTAACCACAGCCAGAGACACTTGTGCTTATATTGCACCAGAGAGAAAAGTCTGGGCTGCATTAATATGCCTCTGAGGAACTTATAAAAATTGTAAGACAGTGAAACTAAAAAGCTAGGATATTTTTTTTTAGGAGATCAAATCAGGATTTCTTATTGTAATGACAATTTTGTTTATCCACCGCTTTCAATAATTATATTTGTAGCTTAATCCCCTGCTTTAGTAGACCCTCCCAAGCACTTCAGGTCCTTGAATGCAAAACAAGTTTTATGCAAGTAAGCCAGAAGTGGACATGCTTGGTTGCCTGGTTGTTTAATTAGAAACTGAAGCAAAAGGCATCCTGCCGCAGGGAGACAACCAGGCTGCAGACTATGACACTGCCATAGCTTTGCTCTGTCTCTCTTTAGCCTTAAGCGAATCTGATCTTGGGCATCCTGACCCTGACTAATTGCATACTGTTTCCTGTGATGCTGAGAAGCTCCTTCCACCCATTGCTGAACTATTAAGCTTCTCTGTTCTGGCTGCTAATTAAGCAGCAGAATGAGGAACTTTTTTGTTGCTGCTGTTTTGGGTTTTTCGGGCGGGGGGGTGGGGTGGAGGGGGTTGTTCTGTTTTGTACCCTCCTTTCCTCCTCCTTGACAACCCCCGATATACAGAGGTCAGCTGGATGCTTTCTTTGTCACTTTGTCACACTGTTGAGAGGTGAAGATGTCGTATCACCTTTCAGAAGACAAGGAAGGTGATAAATGCACTAGCTTGAGAGACAAAGAGTCAGGATACTAATGAAAATCTCTACTGACTAGACAGCAAAGAGAATCTCACTTTAAAAGACTGTAAAGGAAAGATAACTTTATCAGCTATACAAATGTCAAGTCTAAAGTACACTGGATTAATGCAGCAACATATTTTTCTGTCAGGAAAAAAATTTATATAGAGAATTATTTGCAAATAACTATGTAAGCAAGTTTAAATGTCATGCATAAAATAAGTAAGATATCAGTCTCTTCTGGATGTTATCTTGATATTTAGATTTACAAAATATAATGTGGCCTAGATTAGAGGACTTGTTTTTCAGATTCTTCTTCCCCCCCCCCCCCCCCCAATTGAATAGGAATTGTGCAGGAAAATTACTTTTTTTTTTTTTTTTTTTTTTTTTTATATCCTAATGAAAATAGTCACTAAAATAAATCATCAAAGTTTTACCAGCCATAAAAGCATCACTGAGCCATTATATTAGTTTATTAGGTAAAATTAAATAGAGACTTTAAATTAATTATAACCAGCTTGCAAAATAGCAAATATATTGTGTATGCAAAAAGTAGCTCCATCTGATGTGCACCAGCCACCATATGTAAAATGCCTATTATTTATCCTGTCCCTTTGAAAATCATTTCATTGGAATGTATCAGTTAAACTAAAACACATGACCCCTCTTCTTGTGACATGAACGAAATCACTGAAAAGAAGTCTTTTTAAAATTATTTATTTATTTTTCCCTTCCTTCTACTCATGTGAACTTTCTGGGAAAAAAGCAGCTTCAAGGATTTTTATCAGTATCTGTATAATGGCAAGTGCATCACATGCATCCTGAACCATTAGCTGCCTACATTTGAAAGAATTTGGTCAACATTTAGGAATTCACTTAATGAAAGGCTGGCCTATTAAAGCTCTGCTAGCTTTGGAAGTTGATTGAGCTTTTCTTTTCAACTTCCTGCATCGTTGTAAATGATGCTATGCAGTGCCCTCATGTGATATAGTCTAAACAACAAGCTTGCATTGTAACGTTTAAAAAATTCAAGTACCAGGTGATATATTTCTGTGGTACAAAGCTCTTTAGAAATCTCTGTGTGAAGTCACAGATTCAAAAAGCAACAGCTCCAAAAAACATCTATTTATATTCTGGAAAGATAAAGGAACAACACTTCGGTTGTACATCCACATGACACTTGAATAAACAAATAGAAAATCAGTAAAAAAAAACAAGACAGACAACGTTTCTTCTCTCAGATCACTCAAAGTAATAGAGACCAGAATTAGGCCCCCTAACTACTGGTTTTTAATTTTTGGCTGAAACATGAAATCAATGACTTGACACTCCTGACGTTTCAAGGCCAGTGTGAAGTTTCAAGGCTAGAAGACACACAGGAGACCTGGTAGACATAGATGTCTAAGACTGGTGTGAGAGCAGCGGGTTCTCTACTGGAAAAAGAGGGTCAGCATTGCTGCCTTATGGCATGTCTTGATTAAAGTAAATGCCTGATGTAGGAGAACAAGCAGCAGGATGGCATTAAAAGAAGAAGCAGTTAGCACGTGGAGGACATATCAGAAGGGGAGCCCACTGACTGCTTGAGCACTCACCTGCATCCCAAACACAGCTACATTGCTGCGTTTATGTGATGAGCGAGATATGTTTTCTCAGGATTGCAGAGAAGAAGGTTTCCTTTATATGATCTATTTTCTCTTCATGGCTTGGGTAAGTGTAAGCGCTACAAAATAGTGTCAGATGGGTGGCACTGGAGACTGGAATCATTAACTAAAAGAAGTTTAATCTCATTTTGGGATTTGCAAGCAGAATGCCCATGAATGAGGATAGGACTGGGCTCCGTTTCCATGGGATAAGTCAAGCATAGGGAACAACATGTAACAATTATTCCCCTTCCAAGGCTTGGAAAGAGAGTTGTGTCACATAAGCTTGGCACAGGGTCTCTCTACAAGACATCTGATGAATAGGTTTCAAAATTAAATTTATGAAATTAAATTTAATTTTAGAACAAATCTACAGACAGCATGCATTCCAGCTTATTTTTCTTCAGGCTCCAAGGACTAAGGGTTTGGGGATTTTTTTTTTGTTTTCTGTTTCCCAAACTGATTACCTACTTAACTCCTCAAATAATTACCCCTGTTGACTTTGATCTGTAGTTACTGTGGAATAACACCTTCTTCTAGTGAGGCAGGATGCCAGCTTCCTTCAAATGAAAGGCCTGGGCTTATGAAGTAATTTTATGATGATCTCACCAATTATCTTCTTGTCTCTAATCTTCCCTTTTGGGTAAGGTTATTGGGAAAGCTGAGTAAGGTAACTGTAGTCTCAGGACAAATTTATCCTTGTCTATTGTAACTTGCCTTTAAGACTGGATGCAGTACAATTACTCCCTGTGGGGGAGAACTCAACATAATGACACACAGGAGACTGCGCAGACATAGATGTTTAAACACAAGCAAACAACACCTTTTATACCAATGATCAGGAGATTTTTCTTTCAGTTTGTACGTGAATTTTGTGTGGTGTTAAGGTCATTCTGCTTTTGACTTGTTCTGCTCCTTTCATTCAAAAGAAGTCAATGAAGTAACTATTGGCAGCTGTCCCAGTATCACCAGAAGGAAGGCTTCTCCAATATAGATTTCATTCAGGGTATACAAGACCAATGACAACAGAAATAAGGATGTATATCATGTTCATAGTACTGTGCCTGTATTACCAGAGTCTGGCTGACAGTGGAATGCAGAAGTTTCTTCTCATAGAATCCATTTTTCATGACTTCCGCCCTCACCAGATGTAAGCAAACACCCAGACAACAGAAAAATCAGTGTCTAAAAATAGTGCAAGCCGTAATAATGGCTGGAATCAGACACTGGAGGGAGACACAGCTGCACACACTAAAATCAAGGCACTTTCTTGTCCCTTCTTGCACAAGTATTGAGTGTATGCACTAAAGCCCCACTTGATATACCTCCATTCCTCATTTGTCACATCAGCAAGGAAGGAAAGAGGAAAAGAATGCCTGGGCCAGTTAATGAACCATAAAGCCCTACACTTTGTTGCTGGTGGAGGAGAAGCGCGCAATTCCTGAATAAAGCCTGCAGAAATTCAGCAGCAATGGTGTGGAACTGTTTTTCGAATCAAGCCCTGAGAACCCATCATGATTTGCATTCATGTAAACACCTACATTTTTTTGTTAACTGAACTGATTTAACTGCTAATTAAAACTAGTCAGTAAGCACAATGCAAAATTAATTAAACCATTTAGCTGGTAGATGCAAATGAGGCAAAGTTATGGCTTGGACACAACCAAAATAAGTACAAGTACTACTCATCATCTGGCAAAATAGTTCTTGAAGTAAAGAAATCTTTCCCCAGAGATGATGTAAAGCAATAAAAAAAATAAAAAGCAAAACATACTGCTGACTACATATGATCTTTTATTGATAAAATGCGCTGGAATCCAGGTTCTCCTCTTTGAAACAGTGACAAACTGGGCTCAGTGGATTTTTAAAATATTCTCCCATACATGAAACCTTTCAAAGTAATTTCTGGATCCCAACTTGCTCTTCTCAAGCATGCAAAGTTACTACTGTCTGTCACTGGCAAGAATTTTACCTCAATCTGGACTTTGTATTTTCGACAACTATTTTAATAGCTTTACATTTTCTCAGAGGGAAAGTATCTGCTTGGCAAACTATATTGACTGATGTTAAGTGGAATTAGTGTTTTCTGAGGGCAAGGCCAGAAATGTGTGTGGCTCTGTGGTAACTCTGCCCTCTGCCTCCTCTTTCCAGAAGACCCATGTGCCTCACAACCCTGATTGTACTTATTCTACTAAGACCCCCTAGGAGAGGGACACACAGTTACCCACATTGTATAAAGTGTGATCTGAAATAGGTTAAATAAGCATTAGATTTAAAAAAAAAAAGCCACACACAAAAAAAAACCCACCCACCCTCCCCCCCCCCCAAAAAAAAAACAAAACAAAAACAAAACAAAAAACCTCTAAGATGCCCATAGGTGTAGTTCAGCAGCAACCGGACCCAGGGATAAGTGAAGTCCTTGTGAATCACCTAGGCTCTTTGCGTGGTGTGTGGTAGTACTCAGGAAAGTTTCCTTAGGCAAGTTCAGATATCTAAGAGGTATTTTACAATGGTGCAATTCAGAGCTAAGTGAGATGCCTACGACTACACAGTGTAAACTGTCCTTCCACCTTTTCCGTTATTTCAGGTGTTCCAGAACGGCACTGAAAACAAGAGCACATGGAAGGAAAGATGCTTGTGCTCAAGAGACTCAGCCCAGCAAGAAGAGCTGAGGGCAGAGTTAGAACTTAAATCTCTCCCTCCCTGGCTCTCCGTAGCAGTGTCCCACCTCCTCTGCCTCCTGTGCATGCAGCTTATGCCTCACTCAGAAACAGAACAGGGTTCAAGCTTTAGTTTTTATGACACACAGTTGTCATCACAGAGGCTTTACACATTTCTGCAAATGTCAAACAGTCATCCAGAATGCAAGAGACCTTGCTTCCTTTTCTCCCACTGCCTGAGGGAATGTAAGCTTGCACACCCTGCTTCTGGCCATCTAAGCCAGTGGCCTGATGGCGATGCTGCATAGGAGCACATGTTGCTCCATAGAAACGTGCTCAAAGACCCTTGGACAGAAGACAACACCCCAGAGCACTGGCTGGGGAAGGACTGGCTGCTCACAGGACTGCATCCTGTACCTGTTTCACAGACATCTACCAGGCTGACCCCCACAGGGACTTCACTAGCAAGATGTGTAATTCCTGACTTCCTGGTGGGGTTGGGGATAGGCTTACCCGGAAGGCTGAGGCATTTCTAGCAATGAGCAAAGTGTGACTTGTCAGCACTGGAAACAGGATAAAGTAAAGCACGCATGTTGATTAGAGACTGTATAAGCAGAAAGCTTGGACTTTGGCTAGGTCTAAAGCAACACGCCTGAGGCACCCAATGAAGTAGGCAACAGCCCCCAGACCCTTCTCCTCACTCATAACCTCCAAACCATTCTGCTGCCTTCCTGGTCTCTCCTGAACAGCAAGACCCAGCCAAGTACAGGAGGGACTGCCTATATTACTGGGATGCAGGGCTGCACATGCCTCCCACAGCAGCTGGGAAGTGACTCTGGCTGGGTCCTCCATGGACCAGCCTGGCAGCCAGGCATCCTGACTGTCGGCATTCAAATGCCATGCAGAACATCATCCGTTTTGTCAGCAAAATGCTTCATTTTTCTATCTGTGCTATTAAATTGTTTGAATCTAGTTGGAAAACCTAAAAACAACAGCTTGCTTATTTTAACAAAGTAAAGAAATCTTCCAGCCCTACTTCCAACCCTTGCTGGTTGGTTTACGTTTGATAATAGACTTCTGTTTGAGAGACTACCATATCGTTTCTCATTACCATTATTGTTATGACAATCTAAAGAGTCTTTGTTTCATTAATATTTTTCTCAGCCACCTTTAGATGCATATCTGCCTTTAGGTACTTCCTTCTAACACAGAAAACACATGGTGGGTACTTCTGTTAATGGCAACAATACCCCAACTCCTCAAGTATTACAGTTAGTGCGATGGTTATCATGCTCTCTCTCCCACTTTCAGGTAGATCATCATGAGCTGTGGGAGACGATATGCTGAAAGTGTGCACAGCTCCAGCTAGAATAGCATCTCTAACACAAGACACCTGTTATGGTTGTTGTGCACTAGGCTTGCTGACTGTTAGCTTTGAGGCAAACTTAATGTAGTTACACTGCTAAAGGTCTGGTACTTAGCTGCATACCACAAAGACGGTGCTAATGCAGGCTAAAATAATTTTTCTTTTCTTTTTGTAAGTACCGTTACTAATATATTTAACATAGTTAAAAATGCGTTATATCTAGGACTCTCTTTAAATGTGTGTGCATAAATTAACTTGGATACCGTTAAATAGAATTTAAAGCAGCAGAAACAAAATAGCATTTTGCAAAAAAGCATTTAAGCCGAAACAAACGCATTACAGTTAAAGTTTCATGAACACTGATAAGATTGCTGAGTAAAACAGCTTAGTAAAAATGAAACAGAAACAAAAGACTATATACCTCTCTTCAGGCAATGGGAAGCAGCTTCAGCTCCAAAATTCCCACTTGTAGGGAATACTTGACTGACCAAGAACTGTCTCTTTTGAATGGAGAGGAACACAAGGCAGGCTTTACTGAGCTATAGAGGCAAAAGGAGTTCAGCTAAGGGTGCTGAGGTACAGCTGGTACTTCAGCTGTGTCATGATGCACTGCTTTCCAGTTACTTGGAGAACAAGTGCTGAAGAAAGCAGCTCAAATATGAAAAACAGCTCTCAGCTTGGACTGCTTCCTCCTGGCCCTGCTGCAACAGCAAAGCACGTAGCTGTGTAAGACAGCAGGCTGCTGCAGCCAGCACAGTAGCTGCGTACTTAGCCTGTTTTCCCAGTCCCTGGAAACCCAGAATTTCTGCCACCAGTGAAGGCAGAGTCAGGATGCATGGGATTTCCAGGACACCGAGACAAACATCTGGGTAGCAATTGTAATTTTCTTCACTCTTCCCAACCTATCACACATCTCATAGGCTGACAGAAGTAGCAAGGCTGGTTCAGTAGGCTTGTCCATCCTGGTTCTGCTACTTTTCCTGTCCCATCCCCCATCAGTTGCCTCCTGCTCCTCCTCAGTTCTGCCTACACAGGTGAGCTGGATCTCGGAAGCTGAAGATATTAACTCTAGCTAGGTACCTTGATAGTGTGGTTGTTCTAGAGTTCAAGTTGGCCCAACAGGGCTGCACATCACTGTACTGTACTGTGATGTGTAGGCACATGCACTGAATTAGCCATCTCATTGTCTGCACAGCACAGGCTTGTAACAGCCTGAGCAACTGCCTTTCTACTAATCCAGAATCTTCATTATTTAGTTCAAAGGTCCTTTGGAGTAAGGATTGTCTTTTGTCATATACCTGCATAGTGCTCTGTTGAATATAGACCGGCTTTTGATCAGTGTCCCAAGGTAATTCTGTAACCCAAATGATTATTCATAATAAAATAAATATAATGCTTCACATTAAATGTCTAATTCAAGGGATCCTGGGGATGTTCCTAAAATGTGTTTTCATCATACTAAAAATGTAGGATCTGGGTATAACTCTATTCCCTTCTACAGTATTTTAGATAACCAAGAGGCTATTTTCAACTTGTTTCATCCACTTATAACCTTATGAGTATTGGACAGGGAAAAAATAGAGACTAGAAACCATACATATGATTATAAGAATCTATGTTCTATTACAAACAGCCTTATCTCACTCCCTCTTCCTGTGCCAGAATAGTATAACTTGGATTACAAAATCAAGCATTCAAAAATTAGGAAGTTCAGATTTTCTCTGCAGATCTAATTCAGCCACACTACATGTATGTGTTACAACAGCATGTGAGTAATTAAAGACTATTATTGTCAAGTGAATTTCACCTTATCCAGAAGAGACTGGATGGTGCGTGTTTAATGAGTGACTCTGCAATACTCCTTCTCCTTATTACTAAGTGTGTGGTCCCAACTGTACAGTTGGCACCCTATCTGGATCTTAAAATACTTTTTCACAATCTTTCCTGTGCTTTCATCACTATTGTACCCCAGTGCTTTATGGATATTAATGCATTTTTTTTTCACAATATCCTCATGAGATAGCAATTTATTATCTCTGTTTTACAAATGAAGAAGTGGGACACAGAAAGACTGAGGTCTAAAGTGCAACTTCATTTTGGATGCCCAACTTGAGATGCCACTGG